TTCCCCTCCTCGACAATGGCCGAACAACTCCCCTACACACCAGAACTGTTTAGAGAGCCCGTAACCAACGCTTTCTTCTGTGGCTTCAGATGTTTTCTGGAGGCGGCCGTGTGTTAAAGCTGTGGTGAAGTGTGCCACACTCACCCGGAGTATTTTTTTAGTGCGGTGATTTTACCGCGCGAAGCTTGCTGGATGTTTCTTTTTTTTACTCTCCGCGTGCCTGCGTTTATACACAAACAGCTCTCATTCCAGTTGATCTGCAGCCAATTTCAAGCAAATCTAAACATGCACCGTTAAAAGCTTAGTGAATCACTAACGCTGCCACGTTTGCTATCATAATAATAATTATTTCAAGCCCTCTCTCAATCAGCTGTTGGATGAGGGCCTCCAACACGCCATGCACGTCAAGGAAGATGTTTGACCATACGTCACCGCGCCAGTCATATATAGAGGGTTGGCGAAGGGGTTGGGTGAATTTCCCAGGATCAGTTTAGATGTCACTCACCGATGTGTGTACCGTATGTTGAACTTCTCTCGCAGCGTACGTAGCCAACCGTGCTAATCGGGCGCACGGAGGTGCGTGTTGTGTGGCTTTTTCTCCGGGTCCACCGTTTTTTCTCCTCCACGTTTAGAATTAGTGTACGTTATTTCCAGCACTTCGAGGACGGGCATCACCGCTGCTATAAACCAAAGCTAATTGAACAATTTAGCTGCTGATGGGAAGTAATGCCAGTGAGACTTCCACGCGGTGCTCACACACACACACAGAGACAGCTTCCCAATGGGCAGTCGTGCCCAGCAGCCTGCGCTTTGGGTCAGTGTCTTGTAGAAATATTCGCCATCTGAGATGGGTACACGAGCAAGTAAATAAATAATCTTCTTTTAAAAAAAAAATTCTGCTAAGAGCGTTCTTTCATTCCCAGGTGTTTTTTTTGTGCAAGCCAAAATGAAGGCACGGTCTCAAGTAAATTACATTTAACGCACCTTAGCAGTGTTTCCCCTGCTAAGGTCCATGTTCAGCAGTGTCCCTTTGCTGCTGATCCTCAGCCCGATTGATGCAAATTCTAGAATTCCTATGGCAGAGAGCAACGTACCCCAAACACAACGAACCACTGCTGCTGTCGCATTTCAGTGCACTCACGAAACGGTACCCAACGCACCAACCCGAGGAGGCGATCGGATTCGCTTAACCCTCGACCTCGACGCGAACCGACAACGTGACGTTGCCGACAGTGTGACAATACCGAGGCAGCCGCACAACCGACTGCTGGTCTCACATTTGTTTACGCTCAAACCGGAGGATCACTCGTCAGCAAAACGCAATGTTGCTTCACAGAGTGACAACCCTCTCAGTCAAATGTCCTGGGTAGCTTAGATCAAGTTCAGTGGCGTAGAGCGGCTGGCACGGGGCTCTGACGCAAGGAATTAAATTGGGCCGCATGTCCAGATCTCCCCGCCCCCCCCCACACACCCCCACCTTGTATCTCGGCGCCTCGTTGGCCCCTCTGGCCCGTGGGCTCCGGAGCGGTTGCACTGCCTGCACGCCACCTGGTAGCGACGCCACGAGGCAAGCTGCGTGAAAAGCAATCGAGGGCACGGGAAAAGGAGGTGGAGTGTGGGGGGAGTGGGGGCTGACGCACGGCGGTGACGGATCGTAGGCGAGAGAGAGAGAAGGGGGGGGGGGGCACGCAAAGGTGGCATCACACACAAAGCGTAGAGGGTGACAGGCGCTTCGTGACATCTCTCTCGGTGCCACTGCTGTGAGAGCCCCGACTGCTGCAATTAAAATAATTGAGGGCTAAAATAACCTGCGTGTACCTACAAGGAGCATAATAGACGGGCGGTCATAATCCGCTGAGCCAAGGCAAGGGGCCAGAGACACAGGGCGTAATGAGACGTTACACTTTGAATGGAAAGAGAGCCATTGTGCCATTGTGATAGGCTGGGATCACGGGGAAGGGGTTGTCCTCCTCTGACCCAGTTTGCCTCTTTCGCTGCAAACGTAAGTAAGTTAAAGGAGGGAGAAATGTCTTCTTTTAAGAGCACTCCGTCCAATAATGTTCCGTTTTCCATCGGTGGGTGTAGAGATGCGTGGATTTGTCAGGTGAAAGCGATTCTGTTATCTTCCCTCGTTATTTGCAGCCAAACTCCCCTAAACCCTTCCCTTCCCCATCACTAACTCTGTCCCTCTTGCAAACTTCCCTCCTCATTCATCATTAACCAGCCACTGTCACTTGGCGTCATTGTTTATTTCACGCACCGTCATCATGTGCATCGTGCATGCCCGTCCTTCTCATCAACCCAACTCATCTCATCGCACTATTCTGCTGCACAAACAGCTGATTCTTCGTTCAGCTCCCTGTTGGCCAAGGCGCTATATGAATTAAAATAAGATCCGATGGATTCGTCAGACAAAATCGATTCTGTTGTTGGCGGTGCACGCGAACAACAGAATCGCGGTGCACGCGAACAACAACTAGCAGCCCGCCGACATCATCTGGACATGACCGTCCATCCCTCCGTCCCTCCAGCCAGCCAGAACAAGTTTTTCGATAATATAGTATGATGCAGTATGACACGATAGTGTGATAGCGTATCCTTAGGGGGCTTGACATCATCACCGTGCATGAACCCGGCTCAACTGTGTGGGACGCGGGTGACATCACCACCACGCACACGCGATTGGCCACACGCCAGCGGGGAATCCAGGCAGGATTCCAGTCAGCAAAACTTTTTTGTTTCCTCTATTCCAGCACGAGTATGATGAGTTCGTGCAAATTGTTGCAGCAACTAGAGGCGCTAACATCCACCGCAATGTTTGCAAAAAATGTGTACGAACTGTTTGTAAGAATCATGACCCCGAATAAAAATTTTGTGCGCACAATTCGATGCAAGTATCACGAGCGTGATAATAAATGTGAACCGATGAATCGATACACCGGCACATGCCCGACAGCTCTACGGCACTGCACAACCGACTGAACGATCCTGGCTGTCGGTCGAATGCGGCGTCCATTTATATCACTCTCAACTGCGATCACACAGTCACCAAACACAACATCTGGTCACGGAGTGGCACCGCTCTTTAAAATGACCCTCGGTAGATTTTTTTTTTTAAGCCCGGCGGTGGTAGTGCGGGTGGGCATGGGGCCTGGCGCACGCAATGACATGGGGCTCTCCCCTGCACTATTCCCCATCCCTCTTCCCTCTTCATACTTTGGTGGCTGACCTCTGACCCCTCATGGTTTAAGGTGACCTGCAGCGTACTCAGATGTGGCCACATTTGGATGCTTCACAACATAATAACACCATCGTTTTTTCTCGGTTTGTTTTTGTTTTATACATTCATATGTGATCATCCGTAGTGTATATTGCGTGCGTGTGTGTGCAATGTGACCCCATGTGTGTGTGTGTGTGCACAGATGCTCGTGTGCGCGTGTGAATCGTCATTATATATTTTTTACAAGTGCTCAATATAAATATTCTCTACGCCACACTAGAATAGACAGTGCCGTCCTCTATGACATATCCCATTTCAGTATTATAACAACAACATTGTTATTCTTACCTTACTATAATTATCATTATAATTCGCGCGCGGTTAGATCATCCCTTGCTGGCTGTACGCGCGCTTTGGGTTTAGAAAAATAACTAACACAGAATGGCAATGGGTCGGCGTCTACAGGTAATTATATCTTGGTATACATACCAGCACATGAAATTCCGCATACCAGCGCACCGTGGCACACCGTGTATTAAAATCTGCACTGGGTGGATGGGTGTACCTTCCTCCCAGTTAGAATAAAGTTCAGTTTTAGCAGGTACTGTGTGTCGCACGAGATCACGAGAGATTTGACAACTATGCGCCCTGCATTGCCGTGATGCCGCATTCAATGGCATTTTGGTATATAATACATGTACGGTGATGGCATGTGGACAAGGCAAAAACAAGATACAGGTCTAAAGTACTGAAACACAGTCAAATTGTCACAAGCCATTCATTGGCATCTGAGTCAGCAGTGTTCGGGTTTAGAAGGCAGAATTAATCTAGCAGTGGATAGAGCAGTGCTCAGCTTGTGTACGTGCTGGAGTAGCCATCCAGCATGTACGTAGCGTCATCCATCGCATCACCGAGACCTACAGATTAACATGGAAACCCACAGACTCACATGGAGACCCACAGACTTACACAGAGACTCACAGACTCACGTGGAGACCCACAGACTCACACAGAGACTCGCAAAGAGACCCATAGACACACATAGAGACACACAGACTCACATGGAGACCCACAGACTTACACAGAGACTCACAGACTCACGTGGAGACCCACAGACTCACACAGAGACTCGCAAAGAGACCCATAGACACACATAGAGACACACAGACTCACATGGAGACCCACAGACTTACACAGAGACTCACAGACTCACGTGGAGACCCACAGACTCACACAGAGACTCGCAAAGAGACCCATAGACACACATAGAGACACACAGACTCACATGGAGACCCACAGACTTACACAGAGACTCACAGACTCACGTGGAGACCCACAGACTCACACAGAGACTCGCAAAGAGACCCATAGACACACATAGAGACACACAGACTCACATGGAGACCCACAGACTTACACAGAGACTCACAGACTCACATGGAGACCCACAGACTCACATGGAGACCCACAGACTCACACAGAGACTCACGTAGAGACCCACAGACTGACATGGAGACCCATATACTCACATAGAGACCCACATACTCGCGTGGAGACCCACAGGCTCACATGGAGACCCACAGACTCACATGGAGACCCACAGACTCACACAGAGACCACATACTCACATGGAGACTCACAGACTCATATAGAGACCCATAGATATGACCAGCATGGAAACAGCAACAATCCATCATGAGGGCAGCATCCTCCTCCACCCCAGCACAGTTGCACGACGGGCTGTCCCGGTAATAACAACTCAATGCGTCTCTCTCACCAGAATTGTGCCGGGAGATCGTCAGAGAAGGCTATGGCGTCCGGGGACCCTTGAATTCCGAGTCTTGGAATCCTATCTGCTACACGGTCAGTGTTATTGTACGCTGGAGATGCCCCACAAGGCTACACCTCCCCTTTCTGTTGTTCATATCTTGTGCTTTAAGAGACGCAAAATGTTTGGCAATTCATCCGTTCAACTCGGCCTTCGACCTCTGCCGTGCACTGCTCTTGCACCGATGCCAAACCAATCCCAGCATTTCCTCGCAGAATAACTTTTGACCCATCGGATTAAAAATGCTGCCCATGTAAGCCATGGTTCACAGAGCTATCTGCAACTGCCTTTTCTTTACCCTTGTTCAATAAGCGACCTGGCCACAAATGATAGCTCACCGAAGTGGCTTACAACATTTACAGCAGACAAATACTCTGAACGCACGTTGAGAAAGACGTGCAAACTCTAAATATGCAGGCGTCAATGCCGGCATCGAACCCACGAGCTCCTGCATATACCGGGTGTGGTAGTTAACGTCTCGCCAACTTGGCGGGTGGCTTTTGGCACATAATCTCATCTCACTTCGACCAACGCCACCTCAAACAACTGGGTTACAGCCGCTGGCCACCACCACCACGCCCAGCGACAGCCAACTGCCATTGTTGTGCCCCTGTCGGGATGTCGTTTTTTTCTTCATTATAAACGCCAGCCACCATTATTGATTTGCATTGCCAGAAATGTCAGTGGGATTATAACACGTGAAAGCTGCCAGTGCCAGTCCCTCATTCCATACATGCATGTGCACGTGCAAAAACCAAAAAAAGACAAAGATCTCCCGTATAGTCTCCATAGACTGACAGGGGGCAAGTGCTGTTCACTGGCACATATTTTTACCGTCACACGGTACCCGAGGGGGTGGGTGCGGTGTGGTCAGCACCACATCCGAGCCACCTTTGTCTTGCTCAGAGTGCTGACGTTGACGCACACCGCAACAGGCACTCGTTTAAGTCAACTTCGGGGAGGTCCAGGACGGGGTTCAGATATTCACCACTGATGTGTCGGTGGCTAGGAGATTGAACTCGGGTCGCTGGGTGTACAGTGCAGTGTACTGCATTGCAGCTGGCTATGTACGCACGATAATAATAACCCCATCAGCTACTGGCCAATAGCATTCATTAAAAATACAAATAGAATCTTGACAAACTGTAAATGTGAACGTCCATGTAAGACCTATTAGAGTATTCACTAATTGCTCATTCAACATGTTACAAGAAAAATTGCATCGTATCATTTAATTACATCTCTGCAAATGGATTTTCGCGGGAAAATTGAACGAACATTTTTTTTGGGCCAAAACAAAATCGAGTCGTTTAATATGCAACTGAAAAATGACGAAACGCAGCGGAAAACTAATTTTGACAAAAAGTACGAGGCCACTGTTATCAGCGCTGCCGTAGAGGCAAGGCGACTCCGGCGGACAGATCGAATCAACGCATTCAATGTCATGCACAGTGGAACTTTTCACTTGCTTCGACTATATATATCAAACGCGTTCAGACGCATTCTCTGGTTTAAAGCGTTGTCGTGTACGTGTGCGCATTGGACTTCTTTCGCACCGTACATAGCCAACCGTGCTCATTGCTGGCTCTCAAACCAAATGCACAACTGAGCGCGTCGCTATTTATTTCGCTGAACGACGAAATGGTTCAAATGTGAATAACCGAGATGAATGAGCAAATTATTACTATTATTGTTACACGTCCTATTTTCCAACGGCGTGAATGTGAGCACGCGCTCGGGCATCTCATTTGGAACAATGTTGCAAGTTACATGCAAACATTGCTGACAAAAGGATTTTAATAGCCCACCTTGGCCTAATTTTCGGCTATTCTTTCATTTGAAGCACCCTTCTCTATAATCTATATGATTGGCAAATTACGTACTTTCGTCTATCCTGTCAGCAGTATCAGAAGTTTAAATGGGCACACCACAGTTGATCGGCAGGTCGTGTGTGGTGGGATAAAGTGTGGGTTGCTCCCACCACTTCCCAAGACGTCTGACCATTATGGAAGAGTAGGCCAAGGTGCCCTCAAGTGGAGGAAATCTAGAACTCCCTCGAGTGGAGGCCTTTACACCGGCGGTGGCGTGGGGAATTGCAGGGTTGCGCATTTACCATTTCCATATATTAAACATTCTGACGTACTCACACGACGACTGTGATAGCGAATAAAGACGTAATGATCCACGATGATTTTTTTATTCTCAAGCTCACAGGACACGTATGAAATCGTGCGTACAAAGATTGTTGTTATTTTGATTACGTCGATGTTGTATGGCGGTGTTGTTCATTGCAAGGCCCGCGGGCGACTGGCGGCCCCTGGCGGCCTTTAGAGCGGCCCCTGACAGGTCAACACCAACAACACCACGTGACAACACCACGTGACAACACCCCCCCATCATCATCGCGCTGTCAAACCCCCAATGGTTACAAATCTGCTGGCGGCCCTCACACTCATGATGCCTTATCGGCGAGAGTGAAGAACTCCGTCATACGTGATGAGTTTGCATGACCCCTGCAGCCACTAGAGGCCGTTATAGTCACCAGAATGGAAAAATAAAAAAAAGAGTACTGTATCCCTTTTGGAAAATAATTGCATTCGTTCCTTGAATTGTGAGGGGTGGGGGGTGATTTGTGACACGTGTAGTAACCCAAACAAGAGGTACATGGGCAGTCCTGCAATTGCTACTTCTCGCCACTGCTGGCAGGAAGGTTCTCCGCTCGACGTAACAGCTATGAAGACCCCCTCGCCCCCCCCCCCCCTAAAGGCTATTTGTCCTACTCTTACACGCTGGCCAGATGTCTTCCATAACAAGTATTCATGTGTTTTTCTATTGTAAAACAAACCGGTTTACATTGCTTACATTTTACACTCGTGCATTCCAACCCCGACTGGAACTATATATGTTGTTTTTTTTCCAATGATCCCTTGTCAAGCTTTCGTTACACGCCCGTTATCGCAGGCGCGCGCGTGCGACCTCCGTGCTCGTGAACCCGAAAAAAAAGGTAAACAATTTAAATAAATAATGAACACAGGCCGCGGCTCATGATTTAGCCATGCAATTGCGTAAATCGCTTCTTTTTTTTTCTCCCCCAAACATTTTAAATTTTAAACGTTTTCATTTTGCTGCTCGGGACGTGGGATGGGCGGCATCTCATCAGCAAATGCGAACTCCTTTGATGACCATGTGCGACATCTTGAAGCCGCGGGGCATTTTTCTTTTGTTTATTTTTGTTGTCGTTGCTGCTGCTGCTGCTGCTATTGAGAGAACCTCTCACGTGTCAACCCCCCCGCCCCCCACTCGCATCGCACGTGGGGGTCAGTCGCGAGAAGGCGACGTTGCATTTATGGGCGCAGTGACGCTCGCCCGGAATCCGCAAATTTGCGAGACGGAAGGGTTGTGAGATCGGACACATTTGCACATTTGCGGAACTCCCGAACCCCCAGAGCTGCAACGTAGCCAGACGATGGCAATGAAGCAGAAAAAAAAACCATTGTATCCATCTGTGAGGAACTCTTGAGTGTTATCCTCACAACGGGGACGTGCGGTCAGGGGAGACACAGCCTCACCTGTCATACCCCAATGAAAATAGCTGTTACGAAAAGTAACAAAAAAGAATAATAAAATAAAATAAATGTTAAGATTTTTTTCCCACTGATCTGTGTTATTTAATTTCTGTACGATTTCAATCATTTTTAGAGTCAAAATCGCCAAATTTGCGGAGCTTCGCTGCATTATACAGGAAGAGACGAGAGGTGAGGCAGCGACGATCTCAGCCTCCCCTCTGATTGCGCAACCCCTCAGTAACTGGATGGAGCGCGGGCAATAAACGCGTGTCTGTTACTATCTCAGTATGTCACCAATGTCATGTTTGTAGACCCCTTCATTTCATGTCCTCGCCTTACATACTCCAGGTAACTTATTTCACGTACGTGTATAAAGATATTTAGGCTCGCTGGTCTCGTCATGAAACTGCAATGAAAAAGCACCAGGGGAGGCAGCTATCACATCTGCCTCACGAAAGGGGACGTGTCTAACACGCCCCCCTTAGTGAGGACACGCCCCCTCACTGAGGCCACGCCCCTTCCATGAGGCCACGCCCCTTCCATGAGGCCACCCCCCTCTCCGTGTGTGAATCTGGCTCTGACACTAGCCAGTACCTCCCCAGCCATTGACCTCACCGCACGTCACTGCCTCACATATGTGGACATTTTTATTGCTACACTGGTTTCCTCGCACAAGCCAAACACTCATTTTATTGCATCCTGGGATATTTTCATAATTATCAGTATTGCAAAGCCATATGTCAAACTAATGCTGGACAAAGACCTCCCCACGCTGTCAGCTGCAGTGATTGTTTGAGCATACTTCACCACATTGGTCCGCGCGAGTTGGCGATGGTATGGGATGATCCAGGTCCAGTACTATATCACTCAACACTGATGCCAGCCACGACAGGGCATCAAACTTGGGTCGCCAAACTTCCAAAGCACCATTCCACCACCACTCTTCCAAATTTTCCGTATATTAAAAATTCTACCATTTATATATGATACTTTTTTTTCTACAGGGTCCTGCTAAGTTTCGCAGCAGGGAGCAAAGATTGCTTTGTGTGTGCCCACTTACCATGAGTAATTTGCAGGGCCATGTTTCAGAAATAGGCAAATTTTGAACGCGCTGCCGGCACGCGTGGCATCTCTTCTATTGTCGAATAAATTATCGGGATATTTACCACCCAGTGTGAAGCGGATGGTATTGTATTCTTATGGTTACTTGACCTGCACGTCGTTTCAACCTGGGCGACTGCGAGGGTCGAATCGCGAACCTCTGCATTGAGCAGCCAAACGCTCATCTGCTCGACCGCCGTCACATTTACGTGACGCGTACATGTCATGTCACGGTCAGTTTATTGCGACAACACTGAATGCACAGCCGTGAGGCCACTTGAGAAATGTTACTTGTGACCAGGGTGGGGTTTCTGAGAACATTTTCCCTCAACAGTGTTGGGTGTGTTTGGCTTCAGGTGAGAAGGTGT